GTGTCTCTGTTTGTTAGGTTTCTGTTCTATCAATATATGTTTTGATTTTGTCACGTATTTACATGCCTCACAAAAATATAAGTGTCATATTTACACCTCTACCTCACCATAACAGCCACCTCTTTACAATGGTCACTTTCCTCTGTCCCCACAGTGGCTGTTGTTGAGAGGTTCAACTGCTCAAGCATTTAGCGCTGCGTACTTTACCTGTGAAATCCATTTACAGTCCCTGTGCTTGTAACAATTCCTCCACCTCTCACAAGTTTTTTCCTGAACTCCTCTGTTGGATTGGTAAAGGTAAGGGCTTCACTTCGAATGTTATCAATAGGCGGGGAGCCACAGGCAGGCAAAACAAGATCATAGTCGAACATCAATTTCCTTGGCTCCTCTTTGTTTTTGAAGAAGACTTCAACTGGAAGGAAGAAGCTTCCATAACCAGCCTCAGCAACTGTATAGGGAGGATCCTTTAGAACTAGAAATATAAAATGAAATGAGTCCTGTATAAAAAATTAACACTGATTGGACTGTAGTACTGTACTGGCTTACATAGTGTGCAGGGGATGAGTTCTCCTAAATGGCTGGTACATTGCTCTATGAACTGAACTCTCTATGTTGAACTGTTGACTACATGATCATGTTGTGTTTAGACATAGGACTTAAATTTTTTTGTTAACACCTCTTTCTATCCACTGTTATACCCACTTCTTTAGGTCCCTTGCCTGATATATCAAGCCCCTCCACTCAAAACCATTTCATAAGGCAACTGGTATGTATCTATCCAACACATGTTTAAGAAAACACAATCACAGATGTACTGATTACTAAGAAAGATTAGCAGTAGTCAAAGTAGTAATTAGTAGTAATCAAAGATTACTAGTGTATTTGACGTCGTCACTTTAATATATATACCTTAAATGATTTCACCAGCTGACTTTCAACCTCTGCCTTTTGTTAAAATCAACATTTTTCATCAACAACTGAGGTTTACTTAACAAATAAAGAAGCCTAAGCCCTGTATTACACTGATAAAACACTACAGGCTTTTGAGAACACGGTGGAAATGTAGAAAAACGAGCCGCAGACGAGTGTTTTCTACATTTTATTTTCTTGAGTGTTGTCAACTGTCCGGAGTGTTTCATCACAGTGTAATAAATGGCTTACAATAGGCTTTTTCATTTGCTTTGTGATATAGAGTTAATGCAGCAAAAAACAATAAAACACACTTTTTCTATGCTTTATACTCTGATAAAACATGGGTTTTTGACCAATCAGAGCATGAGGCAGGGTACTATCTATATTACAACGACAGATATATCATAGTGTCAAGGTCCGTGCCAGTGAAGATGTCCCCTGTATAAACTACGATTTGCTAATATGTGTGACAACACCAGTTTCCATAGACTCACAAAAATATTTACAAATTTTGTGCATTAATTGAAAATTCAATAGTCTGGCAATAAATATTCCAGAAAACACCAGATAAAAGAGAGATAAAAGTTGACAATAAGACCCTTGACCCCAAATCTGAGACGTGAGGAATTCTTCAGAAGTAATGGAATTACCAAAAAAATAAGCCCATTGGCTTCAAAAAAATAAGCCCATTGGCTTCTATTAGAAGCCAATGGGCTTATTTTTTTGGTAATTCCATTACTTCTGAAGAATTCCTCACGTCTCAGATTTGGGGTCAAGGGTCTTATTGTCAACTTTTATCTCTTATAAAACAGAAATATGATTTCTTCTAGCTTTGGTTTCTAATTCATGTCTCTAGATTATGTGCAGAGATGTTTGGTCTCCATTTAAGGACTGTAAAACTTGTTTAATTTGTGATTTATATTGCGATACCATTTGCTGTTATTCTTGTACACAGGTACAAATAATAATGTGACATACCTTCCAAGTGAAAAACCAAACAATTTGTATGACAAAATTTCTCTGATGATAATAAACTCCTTCAATAATTCACACTCTCCCTCTAGCGAAGGGACACAGAAGCTCTCAGTACTTCTCTATGCTATCTGATTCCAAGACAGACAATCAGCCATTTAATACAGGTAAATTAACCATCATGGCAAATTTACGAAGCTGAGGTTTTGAGTGTTAAAATCAGCCCTTCTAGCTAATTCACTCTGATGAATGGTTTAACCAATACTTGAAATCTCAGCTTCACAAACTAACTATGATGGTTACTTTACCTCTACAACTTCAAGTTAATAAATAGCTGTCTTTTATTTGCCCACTGATCGATGAAGCCCAACAGTTTCTTAAGAAACCAACACCTTTGTTCAAGACAAACACTGCTGTTTTCTTTTGTTTCAATTTAAATCACCTGCAGACAAATATTCATACTTTCTTTCCTGTAAAAGCTAGATAATGTTACATATATAAGCTGGATTCAAAACGAAAAGTCAAATGCTTCCTCTTCGATATACTGATCACAAAACAACACTTCAGAAATCATCGAAAAACGATCCAATATTAAATGGTAACGCTTGAAACAGAGTGTACATATAGAAAGAAAGTGATATTTACACAGAGATGAACAATAAGCAAATAGTATTGAATCGCTGGATTTGAGGACCCAGGGCATAAAATGCTTTTCATTAGAAATCAGGTTCGAAGCACTTTGTACGAAATCTCGAGTTTTATCAACGTCATTCTTACATTCGATAAGTGATGGAAAATTAAATTGACCTGCAAATTCTACGTATGCATTTTATTTACAAATCACCTTTCGTGCGAAATATTATCTCGTTTATGGATTTTGTATGCGAGAAATGTGTGGTTTGACAAGAATTTACCTAGTATCTACAGTTCCTGTATCATACAACAGGCAACGAGATTAAATGACAAAATTTCCGCTCAAGATTGCGATAGCCATTTAGTTAACTGTTAATAAGGACAAAGAAACAAACACATGCAAGCGCGTGATACGATAGTCGTTCTCGGTTTGATAAAGAACTGCCTTTTTATCATAAACACTGTGCAGAACTTTACACTTTGAAGAGGCCAAGTTTTGTTTATAAAGGACAGTTTAAATTAATTTGTAAGACGAAGAAGGTCTTAGATTTGCGACGTCAACATGCATCGGCTGATCGTGAATTCAAATCGCGTCGATTTGAAGTCAATCGAGTTATAAAGTAAACTGCGAAATCCTTAATTTCTTTTGCTACAGCAAAATTAGCTCTTTAATCCATAGAAGCCGGATAGAATAATCGAGGAAACAAAGAAATCGCCCCAGCTCGTAACACTAGAGTGTTTTACAAGTGGACGTTCGGCAAGGCTAATCAAGTTTGCATGCAAACTCAACTGCACAAAACCAAAGATGTTGACATCACTACGCTAGACCTAACAAATTCTACGTTGCTTACCTCGTTTTGGCTTGGCAAAACTCTCGTGCAGGTAGAACACAACCTTCTCCACGAAATGAGAAATGTCACAGCTTTCTGGTCCTCGCACAAACACGACCCAGTCATGGGTAAAGCCTTCGGGACTTGGGGTTTTCTTACAAGAAGCCTTGTGTCCAAGTTCAATCTTGACTTCAACTTGAACACTCTCCATGCTGATGGCTGTGCTCATAGCACGTAAAATCTCAACGCATAGGTAGCAATTTACGAGTCAATGATGCCTGAAAGGTCAGCACAAATGGCCACGAAGGAAAAGGCCCTCAAAGTTCGATGGAACGCAGAGCTTCGCTCGTTCGACCGAAGTCTTCAAAATACAACATTTTTGATTTCAATGACAGTTCCTTATGCGGCTGCGTGTCGGTTTCATACCAACAACACCAAATATGGTGAGCTTTTGTTCGCTTGTGTTTAATCTCCGGGGAGGAGAGCCAAGGGGAGGAGTCAGAGGCGAGGAGTGAAGCCCTGTTAGGGGGGCTCCTTATGTCCCCGTCTGAGTTTCAAACCTTTTCACCTCGCAACTATTTCGGAAAGTTTGCATGTCGTTGACGGAATTTCGTCCAAAGCTACCGATCTGTTTAACGTAAATGCGTTCTCCTAATTCTGTCCCCAAAACATTCTATTTTTGGATAATTATCAACCAAACTAACACTGTTTTCATATAACACTGTTGTTTTTTGTTTTTTGTTTTTTTTTTCTGGCACAGGCTTAATATTCTTATGTTTCTGCCAATTTTTGGCTGAAAATATTCTTGGGGATATTCTTAGATTATAGCATATGACATTTCTGTTTTCGAATGTATTTGGTGTCCGGATGGTGTTCAGGTAATTTTTCAAAATCTTAGCCAAGGGGTTATTCTTAAAATAGTCTTAAAATTCTTGGCAAATTTCAGCCTTGATGTTCTTATAAACTATGTTCGTATAAAAAAGAGAAAGAATGTAATAGACTTGCAAAGTGCGACAATGCAATGCAGAGAGAATAGACTCAGAAAATGTACTTTTCAATCCTTATGTGACATGTTTGACTTCTCATTCGTGGTCATTTCAGCTCCTTCATGTC